ATAAAATTTTTTAATTATAATAAAATTAAAATTAAAAATTTAAATCGGTAGAATGAAATACCTCATTTCAACTTGAAATTATCTTTATTTCAAGTTTCCATGCCTTTTCGTCTAGTTTCCATGCCTTTTCGTCTTTCCTCTCTCTCTCTCTCTCTCTCGTTTTCTCGTTGGAGTGGTTGTATTTGCATACATGACCTCCATTCCATGCCCAAGACTTCTTCAATTCCACTGTTCCATGCCTCGCCCTCCCAATCGCAGAAGAAACTCCAGAAGAAGAAAAACCTCCTCCTTCACTTCCAAACCCTCTTCTTCTTCTTCTTCAAATCCATCTTCCTCCAACTCCAATTACGTGGCGGTGGTGATCGACCTTGAGCGGCTCTCTCTCTCCTCCTCCAACTCCCATCTCCGCCGCCTCATCGCCTCCGCTGACGACGCCCTCACCGACCTCCGCACCCTCGTCGCCCTCGACGACGCCGGCCGCCTCCTCGTCTCCTGCCGCCGCTCCACTCTCCGCTTCGTCGCCAACTCCCTCCTCTTCTCCTGCGTCGTCGTTTTGGGCTTCAGAGCCCTCTTTTGGCTGCTCTTCAAAAGGACCCACTCTTTCGGTGGCGGCGGCCATGTGGTTGTGCGGAGGGACAGGAGTCTCGGAGGAAAAGAGGTTGTCGTCGCGAGGACGCCGCCGGGGCCTTCTTCTTCTACTCGGAGAGCTTTGAGTAGTCCGTTGTCGGCGGCAAAGGAAGGTGTGGGTCTTGTTGGTGGGACTGAGACTAGGGTTTCTTCGAGGGAGAAGAGGTTGCCGAAATGGTGGCCGAGTTTGGAATTGGATAAGCAAAATTGGGATTCTGATTCTTCCGATGGAATTTTTGATAAGCAGGATTATCAGAGGGACGCCGACAGATTGATTCGAGGTTCGTTGCTTGTTTTTTAAATCAGAAATTTGGTTGTTGATTATGCTACCATTTATTCATTCTATTAGCCTTTCATTTCCATTGCATTAATTATGGATTTATTTTTTTTTCTTTTTCATGTTTGATTGATGAACTTGTTACAAGTATTCTGAAATGATGATACAAATTTACGAGCGTTGACTGTTAAAATGGAACGACGGGACGATGTATTGAGAGAAAAATACGGTATAAAAAGACATGATTTGAACTGCGTGAGAGAAAAATACGAGTAAAAAAGTTAATTTGAAGTTTTGTGAGAGAATACCCTATAACAATATGATTTGAGTCATGACTTACAATGCCGTAGTATATTAAGGGTCTATTTAGTTTGCTAATTCGAGTTTTTAATTTGAGTTGAGATGTGATTTTATGTGAGAATTTTTTATTGTAACAAAAAAGTTAGATATAACAAAACTCAAATTTTAAAATTGAATTGATGAAATGAACGAGATCTAACTCTAGATGATTAAGAAAATAATTTTTTGTGAGATCTTCGTGTGTGTATATATATATATATATATATATATTTTTTTTTTTTAAGATTAGAATCTGTTATTATTAATAAGAATAAGCTTCCGTTATAGCAGAGCTCAAGCGATTTTGTAGTCTTAAGCCAAAAACTTTTAAGGAGCCTTTTTAAATTTTTTTTAAATCAATTAAAATTTAAAAACTTACGTAGAAGTTACAAAAATATTCAATAGTTTTTCTAAAAGAAGAAAAACTCTTTTTGGAGAAGTAGTAATTCACTAAAATTACTAATAAAAGCAACCTACGCATTTAAAAAACACTTTCAATCGGATTAGAATTCGTGATTAACAAAAGCTCCAGTTTCGCTTCAAAAATAATAACAACAAAATTTCAGTTGGGTTGTTGTTTTTCTTCTAACGGTCAATAGTAGAATATTTGTCCTATCTCGTAATTTAGAACGTTGTTTAAGAGGCGAACACTACCTCTATATTGCATTTCCATCCAATGACTTTAATTTCTTGAAGTTGAATAATAACACAAAAATATTATCACATACTTAAGATTGCTTAAATCTACTTCTAAGTAAAGAAATACCTTTTTTTTTTAATACAAAATCCACATCCTTTCTTATGAATTTTTTTAATGTTTTCATCTTATTTGTAATTTATAGATATAGCAAACACAAATCATTTTTCTCAGTTTTATCAAAATAAAAAGGGCCTTTTAATTGGAAGACCTTTACATTTGTAATTTTGGGGCCTTGGCTCAACTTGAGGCCTTAGGCAATTGCCTAAGTTGTCTCATGGTTGAGCCGGCCCTGAGTTATAGTAACCGATCATATGAGTGTTTAAGTTTCCTCCAACCAAATTAGCTTATCATCTATATTAAGAGCATAAGTAGTAAAAAATGGGCAGCTTTATTAGTTTCTTTATACACATGGCATAACTTAGCTCCTGGAAAAACAGATAATAAGCTAGATGCATTTGGCAATAACACTCTAAAACTCATTACAAAAGGAAGAAAATTTCTTCAAAGCTTAGATGATTGCGAATGCATCAGACTCCAGAAACTGGAAATTTAGAACAACATAGTCCAGGTATCCTTTAAGATGACGCAACCATCATAGAACTTGAGGATAAAAATAATTTTAATGAGTATGAGAATAAATTGATATACTTGAAAGAAATTGAAAATCAATAAAATGAAACATTTGAGACTTATCTTGTGATTGCTCCAATAAAATTTTAACCCACTCATAGGCGTCCGTTAAAAGGATGTTAACTATTGATATTTTCAAATAACTATTAAAACTCTCGTAAAGAGAGAGAAAAAAACTCCCAGAAAGAGGGACTTATACTAAATAAGTTGTAATCCAATACTGTTGCAAGTATAATAATATATTAACTATTGATAAAATATTATATGGTACATAATTATTTATAGGACTAGACCCTAAATAATAATTAGGATAACATAATATTAGTAGACTTCTCTCAGTATTAATCAGTGACATAATATGTCGCTATAACGAATATATATATATATATATATAATTAGTAAATTAATCATAAAAAAAACTAATTATCAATAAAAATATAGCAGAACACATGACGGTAATAGTTAGAATATTTTTGTTTTATGTTACTTAAACTTATCGGAGATTACAGTATTGATTTTTATAGAAAATACTACATGGATTTGAAAAAAAAAAAAAAAAAAAAAAAACTGCCATCAAACATCAGTCGAAAAAATATAGAAGCAGTAGCGGCCATAGTGAAAATCAAAATTTCAAAATCCCAATTAGTTTCTTCTGAATATAAAAACTGTTTGGTGACGGCGTACTGCAAGGTTGCAACCACCTTCTCCGCCATAAGTTGTTTCGCTGATGTGCCGGAAAGTACAACATTCTGAAATTCTTATTATTAATATATTTGACAACAGAACACACTATCCAATGTGCTTTGATATCCATAATTGTGCCAAAATACAAGACAAATGCGCCTTGATTAACTTAAAACTATAGGAGTAAGCAATTCACCTTTGAAATCTAGGTTTATTATGCACTTCTTTAAATTTCTAGTCATTGAATATTGTTTAAGATGAATTGAGGTGCATTTATATACTTATTCTTACAATTGTAATTTCTCACTTGGTTTAAGATAATTTTTCCTCGCTGCATTTTGTAGGTAAAAACTGACATTTATCACATTTTGCAAAGTTTTGGTAATGCTTTACATCTTCAATTCGCAACTCATCCACTTGATTTCCAGCAATCACGGACAATAGAATGAGCGGAAAGGACATTGTAGCAGATGATATTATTCAAGTCAGTGCTTTTAAAGTTCAAATTTTATGGAAATGATATCTATTGTTTGTTTAGTTATGCGAATTAAGATACACAAAGATAGGGAGCATGTTCTCTTGTATGCATGGAGATATTGGTCAATTTAAGTGGATTTGCATATGCTTGTTTCTCTAGTTGTTACTAGGGTCAGTTAGTTTTAGGTTTTTTTTTTTTTTGGGTGCATGATTTTCCCTTTCCGTCGGTTATTTTTACTTCGGTACTTACTCCCTCTTCATTTAAGATTTATGTATGGGCACATTGATCACTCTATGGGTTATTTGTTTACTTGTTTGTATATTTGTTTGAATAATATTATTAGGATTTGTGTGCTGGTTTCTTCAGTTTTTTTTTTTTTTGTGTCACTTTGTATCTTTTTATCTCTTTGCAAATTTTTAAATGTGATGAAACATTCGTTGTTATGTCCTTTACATAACAAAGAATATAATTTATTCAAGAATTCTGATTTTACCCTTTTTCTGTGACATTAAACATAGATTGCTAACTTCGTACATTTAATGATGTGAATATGTGACACATGCTATGTGCCCTTTCCGTGTATGTGTGAGCAGTTACGTCGAATATGCAGGACATCAGGAGTGCGAGTCTCCTTTGATACGACAAATACACGGGATTCATTCTATCGCACAGCTGTCGAGTTTATGTTAAATGTTTGTGGCAGGTGATGATCTATGACTATGAGTAGTGTTGTTTGGACAAGTCTTTAGGGATCTCTACGGTCCGATTACCTATTTTAATTTGTGCTTGATATCTCCTGGTGATGTAACCTGTTTATGAATTGCGCAGGGCACCAACTTATTCATCCCTTATTCAGATTGATGGCGAAGATATCCGGCAATTTATTGCTGGTCTTGCTGAAAACATTGGGCTCGAAAATACTCGTGCCGCGAGAATTGTGTCTGCTGCAGTGGCAGCGCGGACACGTTCACTATTTTTACAAGCCTGGGTAAATCCTTGTTACTTGAATATGATTGACTATGTCTTGGATGGCATATGAGAACAAACAAAAACATGATAGCTGTTCTGACAGATTGTGAAAGAATCAGTAAAAATGTGTCATTGCAATTGTAGCTTGCTAAAACCAACTTTCAGCTAGTATTGAAATTATCTGTATGATGAATTTTAATCAAAGATTTTGGATTTCATAGACTTCTAGGGACCAATTACATGTTAAGTAAGAACATACTGTCAAATAGATCATATAGACATTATCATGTGTTTTTTCAAATCTGAGGATTTCTTCCATGTGGAAAAGAGAAAAGAAAAAGAAAAGGGTTATAGGTTATCTGTGTGCTTGATTTAAACATGCACCCCAAGAAAAAAACTTAAGATCCATAAGATAGTGATTGATTTGGGAGCATGTTGTCAAAGTATGCTCTTTTGAGAATGTCTAGCAAATTTTTTTTTTTCCTTTTCTTGTTGTTGAATATCTCCTTTTACTGAAAATGTTTTTTTTAAATGAAACATTATTATCCTTTCAAAAAAAAAAAAAAACGAAACATTATTATTATTTTCATAAGGAACTCCTTTGATTGCAGGCATTGGAAATGCAAGGTAAGCATGATGAAGCAATGTCGGAACTATCAAAGATATGCCTTATCTTGCGAATATTCCCTCCAGAGGAGTCCTCGGTATGTGCTATGTTTTTATCATGAATAATATGTGGCTGTGTTTATATTTTGAATTACCGTAATTAGTACTGATTTTTATGAATTTTTTCGTACGTTTTGAAATGCTCTTGGATAAATGTCAAGCACATTGTGGCTTGTGCTCGTATTTCACAGAAGCTTCCTCGTTTCAAGTTTTTTTTTTTTTTTTTTTTTTTTCGTTGATAATATTTGTTTGTATTGATTCTGATTTCAATCTTGACGGATGTAAATCTGCAGCCTGAGATGGAGATGGTGGCTCGAGGCCTGGCAAAGCACCTGAAACTAGAGCAGAGGGAGTTTTTGATGAATATGCTGGTCGGTTTTTGTGACGAACAAAGTCGGAAAATTGCAGCGGAAGCCTTGGGTTTGGTGAGTCTATTTGGTCCATATTCTCCTGCCCTTTTTATTTCTCAAGCCAAACTTGGCTGTGTTATTTGCCAAATCTCATGGAATGATTTATATCTGAGGGGGAAAAATGAACTGGGCCAATAGAAACTAAAACTGGAGCGGAGCATCACATGGAAACTTAATAGTACCAGAGCTGTTCATTCCACGGGTTGAGGCGAATTGGAGTATTTATGCCGGGTGCCGGCCGAGCAATGATCTCAGCTTGCTGAAAAATGCAGGTCGAGACAACCTGTGGAATCTACAAAGCCGAAATAGCCGAATGATACCTTGGTTTTGGTCGGCTTAGGTTGGAACGTCTTGCGGCGGTTAGGGGTGGTTAGGGATGACACTGGTGGTTACTCTATGCTAATATTTTCGTGCATTAGCAAAAAGAAAACTTTGTGCCTCTAGATTTAGTTGACTTTGTGAGGAAAGATGGCTACGGTAGGTGTAGCCTGTAGGTCTCAGATTTTTCTGAGTGATTTTTTTTTTGTTTTATTAATTTAATACAGATATTTATTATCTAGTTTTAGGAAGTAATGAAGTTTTGGTTATTATGTGCAGATGTCATCTCCTACTTATTATATCGGCGATCAACAGTAGAAGAGCTAGTACATGAAAAACATTAGCAAGCTGTAAATTCGTTTCTTTCAGGATTGAATTCATGGCAACTAAATAGGTTTAGTTCGTTATTTCAGTTTCTTTTTTGTTAACTGGTCAGTAGAACAGGTTATTATTCATTTATGCCCCCTAGTTAGTTTATAAACCAAAATTAACAGCTAATAAATTTCTGAATCTCTCAACTTTTCAATTGTAGCAATATTAAACTACTACATGGAACGTCCTATTTTCCTCTTGAAAAGCTCAAATTTTTAAAACATGTTGAACCATTTATGATTTAATTGCTGAGTATATTGAGATTTCTAGCCAATAAAAAAAAATTTGCCAGTATATTTTGTGTTTTAAGGAATGATCAGTCCAAAAAAAAAAAAAGCTTAGGGACTGAATTGCTATTATGTGAGAAGTTCAGGGACTATTAAGGACGAAAATCCTTTTTGGTTGGTGGAATAGGTTATTCATGTGCTGTGAAGTTGTTCAGAAGCCAAAATTAAAGAGCTAAAAAATCTCTGAATTTCTCTTTAGAAATTTCGAACTTTTTTTTTGGGGGTAATATTTAGAAATTTTGAACATTAACTTAATGCAAGATCTTCGACTTTTGCCCTTAAGTATTTAATTATTATTGATTGTTGTATTAACTTTTTCAGTTAATTATTAAAGTATTGTTGTGTTCAAATTATTTTGAACCTAAAACTCTACTTTTACAACATTTCAAATGTGTATTGGCATTAACATTTTGTGATGATCTTATTATTCTCACCCTCTTCCTCTCTTCTTAACTCTCTTCCCCACCTTCCCTTCAACCATCTCTGAACTCTCTTCCTTTGACACCGTCGAACATTAATGACTTTGCTTGGTTTGATCCCGCGACTCCCTCCTCATTGCTCATCATCGACGCCACTATAAGCTCTATGATGTCCATGCTTTCAAGGACCACGGCTATTGCTCTACTCCTCCGTCTGGGACCCGCGGGTCGCTTGTCGCCCCCCCCCCCCGCCGTCTACACCAGCGAAGATTAGGCCAGTGGATTGAAATATCCACCACCATGTGAAAAATGTGTTGTAATCATTTTCTTAAGAAAAATGTAAGATTCGTTTTGTGAGAAATTTGTAAAATAAAGGATATTATTGTCATTATTTAGAATATAGGAGTGGAAGTTGTGTTTTGGTAAAATATGAAGGTTGTTTCTGTAATTATTTTTATTGTATTTTTATTGTACTTAGATGACAATCAGGTGTGATAGAGATCAGTGAAATCTTTAGATTGTATCCTATTGGTGGGGAAAATAGCGCCCTCACTATAGATGTGCCCATTATAAACAAAAATATAAAAATCTTGTGTGAAGCAATTAAATTTTAAACTTATACCTCTCTAATTATGTAAATGCCCAAAACAATCTATGTGTTTTTAAAATCAAACTCAAAATACCTTGAAGCAATTACATTTTTAAAAAAATAACAAGATTACCCTTTTCTAATTTATATTAAATGTTATTTTATATATAATTTACCTAAAATGTTATATAAACATTTAAAATGTTCAAATGAATATTCCAATCAAATAACTATTCTAATTATTTTGAGAATTTTTCATTTTTTAGATTGATTTTATTTATATTTAACAAAGGTTAGGACAGGTAATCTTGATATTAAAAAAAATTAATTCCTTCAGGAGTATTTTGAGTTTAATTTTAAAATACTGAGGTGTTTTAGACATTTATATAAGAAGCGGGGTAAGAGTGATATTTAAGTAAAATGCAAACGATTTTGGATACTACTCCTTTTGATTTTTATATAATACAATAATTATGATTATGATGCAATTTAGTGCCTAAAAATACCCCATTCGAATTACATAATACTTATTCTAAAAAAGTAAAAAAGAAATTATATGTTGCTTATCATATAAGTTTTCATGAAATAAAATTAATGTGTTTAATTAGTGTATTCGTGCTATAATTTAAATCATAATTTATAATTTATTATAATATTTTTTTTTATAAAAAATACACATAAATTAAAAATAATTTTAAATTATAATTTTAAATATATAAACCAAACGACCAATAAATGCCGCTTAAACTGATTTGTACAAGTCAACAATAAGCTTCCTGAAAACCTCATTTCCAATTTTGCCAACATCACTATTTTTTTTGGCCTGAAATATTTTTCAAAAAAAAAAAATCACATTTCTCTCTCTCTCAAAAAAAAGGAAAAGAAAAGAGTTTCCTCAAAAAAAAAAAAAAAAAAAAAAAAGAGCTCCAAATTTTTTTTGGTTCACGCTCTTTCACAACCATTTTCTCTGACGTCCTCTCTCAGTTTCTCTACTCTTATCGTTCTTTCGTTTGGTTTCCGAGAAAACGGTAGGAAAATCACAGCATCAAAAACCTCGGTTCGATTAATTTCTCATTTTTCTCGTTTGCTTAGCTTCAGATCCGATCTTCTATCGACTAACCGACTTTTCGATTCCGATTTGCTGCTCTGCAGACTTTCCACTGCTCGTCTCGATCGCTGCGATTCAGTAAAAAGGTTTGATTCGTTGCTCTTCCACCATTACATCTTTCGATTTCTCAATCCAAAGCCTAAATTTTCTTATTCCGTTTTTTCGTTTCCATCTAGGTTTGATTCGCTGTTTCTCCGTGCAGAGAAGCGAATCTTCGGCAAACAAAGATGGTTTCGTTCGAAATGAATGATCGGAAAAGTGAGTCACTTTTGAATTTCCGTTCTTGCTTTAAATTTTTTCTGGAAATTATTTGGCATTTTAATAGTAAAAATAAATTAACTGTCGTAATTGTGAAATGGAACAGAGATTGGAATAGGATTGACGGGATTTGGGGTTTTCTTCTCATTTCTGGGAATTATATTCTTCTTCGACAAGGGATTACTTGCCATGGGAAATGTAAGTTTACTTTGATTCTTTCTTTGTATGTTTTGCTTGTATTGATTGATTGATTGATTGATTGATTTATTTATTTCATACTATAATTGAGATCTGTTTTAACGCTGACTTTATTTCTTTGTGGATACTTGATCAGATCCTATTCTTCTCAGGGGTGACTCTTACCATTGGACTTAAGTCCACTATGCAATTTTTCATGAAACCTCAGAATTTCAAGGTTCAACATGTTTCAATCTCTCTTTTCTAGTATATCCACAAATTTAGTTATCCATTTATGATTTTTCGCACTATTGGTCCCTGAACTTTTTGGGCTTGTAAACCTTTTTTCTTGACTGAATAGTCCTTGAATTTTCTTTTTTCTTTTTTTGGGATTTTTGGTCCTCCTATGTCACCTTGTCCATTGTGTAATGACTTGATGTTTTGACAAAACAGTCACATAAGATGCACAATTTTTCTTTTTCTGTTCAAGCGTTTTCGGGGGCGTGAAAAGAATTGTTCATGTCTTATGTGATTGTTTTGTAAAATTTCAAGTTATCACGTCATGAGCACATGATTACCTCCTGTAAATTTTATATATGCGCCCTAAATTTTATTGTCAGGACTGAAATTCCTGAAATGAAAAAAAAAAAAAAAAAAAAAATTCAAGGACTAATTGGCCAAGAAAAAAAAGGTTTAGGGACCAAACCGTATAGTATTAAATATTAGTAGTTTAGGGATTCAGTTCTATCAAAGCCAATTATCCATCTATTTACATCTCCTCTTCACTTGTGGTTTCTGTTTGTTGATTGATTTTACAGGGAACAATATCGTTTGGTCTTGGCTTCATCTTGGTAGTTATAGGATGGCCCATTTTTGGCATGATTTTGGAGGCATACGGTTTCATTGTACTCTTCAGGTATGATTGGTATCTGATTTCATTTCATGAAAATCTATGTACTAATTCCGTAATTTGTTCTACCCTTTCTGAAAGTTGCTGATTGAGTGTATTTCTCAGCGGCTTCTGGCCCACACTAGCTGTTTTTCTGCAGAGGATACCTATTCTTGGGTGGTTGATTCAACAGCCTTACATCAGATCGGTATGTTTGTATTTGAACTAATTTCTCTCTGCAAGACATTCTTTTCTCTAAACCATCTGTAAAAGTCACGTTAGACCAAAAAAAAAAAAATCTTCAAACAAATAGTTGTTTTAACATGATTTACGTCAGAATGCTCATCGGAACACTTGAATGGAAGAGTAGTTTTAGTTTGTTATACATGCACCCACCCACAGAAACACACACACATATATGCATACACATATAGTGTTCATACGTTAACTATGAGCATTATATAGGTTTCTTATGTGGTATTCTACACTATGCTTATGATTACATAGAGATAGCATAAAAACTTAATTTTTAATTTTTAATTTTTTTTTTTTTTTTTATTTTTTATGTAAGAGCGATCGTATGACCATTTGTCTCAGTTTATTGGCATTTGCATGGTTGTTGTTGGACTTTGGAGAGAGTGAATTTTAAAATTATGCTATTCATTATAGAACAAAGAATTCAAAATCATGAGTGTTGAAAATTAGTAATTAGTCTCAATCTTTTAGTTATGGTCTATTAATTGGTATAAGAAGATTTAAAATCGGAAGTTTTTCTGGTAGAGGGAAAAAGACACCGGTTTCTTCTTACGAAATGCGGTTCAGATGGGTAACGCTGCAAGTAATTAGAAATGCTAGCAAGTAGAGATGTTGCTCCAAATAGTTGGCCATAAATATAATAGAGACAATAATACTTGTTATGCATCTTTTATTTAATTTACTTTTTAATGGTTTAAATCTCTTTTCTCCTATTGAAGAAAGACGTAATGGAGTCTGTTCTCTACAGCCTTACATTGTATGATGTATGTTTGGAAACAATACTAATCATGGTGTTGTTTGTAAGTTACCTAAACCTGGGTCATATATTTAGACGATCACCGCTAGTAATATTGCCTGCATAGAGGATTGCATCGTCTCTGATGTACCATGTTCCTATGGAGAGTAGCTTAGAAATTATTTAAAAAAAAATTTCTGACTTCTGAGTGCTTGAAATATGGCGACTAATGAATCTTGAAACTAGGATAGTAGGATGTGATGTTGTGACCATTGTTATGACAAAGATGTAAAATGGAGGATGTATTTAGAACATCAACTTATTAGGTATGAAGTGAACTAGTCCAAGTACATTGCTGGATAACTTATCAATTAATGGAACTAGGATAGCAGGATGTGATGTTGTGACCATTGTTTCTTTTTCGTTTCTTTTCTTCTTTTAAGAAACAGAAAAGATTGTTGAAAATGAGTTATTGCACTGTGAAGTACCAAGCGACCAGGGTTCTATGTTATAGAACGTTAAATTCAAGGAAGCATGAATTGGTATTTGCTTAGACTTTTGGGTCTTTATTGGTGGAAAGACCTTTTGACTTTGGTTTTAGCAAAAGGAAAAGGACGAGGTGATGTGGAAGTGTTTGGTTTTGGCAACTTTGTGGTTTATTTGGATGGAGAGCAATAGCAGAATCCGAATTTTTTATACAAGGCGCAATTTAGGTGTTGTCCTTGTGAAAGAATTATATATCTAGCTTCTTATGGGGACATTCACAGACAGTTTTAGGATTGTCTCTTCTTTTTTATTATGCTTAGTTGGAGGAATTGGATGGTTCATTAGTTTCAGGTTTTTATATCATTGTTATAGTTCTGTAGAATATATTTTATCTAGTAGTTTTTCTAATCTTCCAATTGAGATTTGAAACTTCTGTTTCTTTTAGTATGTAAATAATGCTATTAAAAATGAAACAAATAAAAGAAGATTCTAACGTGGAGAGAATAAAATGTCTTGTTCGTAAAATAATTATTAATTTTCAAATTTGAAAAGTATTGAGTATGGCGGGGCAACAACTTTTTTTGTTCAGTTAATCTCGTATAGGTAGTAGGGATCTTTGGTATTGAGGTTATTCTAATCAAGAAATTTCATCTTCTAGAAGTAACTTTTTGTAGAAAACAGAAACTACTGCCAATGGAATGAGTCAATGAGGATAAAGAACTAGAGGAAACTGTCCTCCACGAATTTTTGCATAACATGCAAAGTAAGGTTATTCATAAAATAAGGTTAATCAAATCCGTCAGCATTGAAAAGAAAAAATTAAGTATATATTAAAACCTTATTGATACAATCCCTTCAAGTTCACCAGATATTGTAAATGCGATGTGAGAACTTTTAAGGAAAATAAGAACATGCAAGTGTCTTTAGTTGGTAGCTTTGAAATTTTGAGCATAATATTAACTGCCTAGGTTCTATTTTATCAATCAAACTGAAGCCCTTGGTGTTGGCATGTAAAGAAACGAGTTAGCTTCACAAGTTTTCATTTGTTAGGGCCAAAATATTTCATCTTTGTTTGAGATTTTATCCATTTGTGATCGCATTGTTGGGTTTCATGTTTCATGTTTCATGTAGAAATAGCTCTATAATACTCCATGTGCACGGTAAGGGTGGTGAGGGGATGCCAATGATTAAGGAAGTGAAGTGTTAGTTCTATGTTTTTGACACTCTCTCAAACATTAACTTCCCATGCCAATGCCAAATTTAGCATAAAGCTCAGCACATGCTAATTTGGCACTAAGGATTGCATATGTGAAACTGTAGTTTGTCCCTCAAATTTCAATTTTACCACTATAAGCAATTTTTTGTATGTTAATTGGATAGTTGGTAGTTGGGTGTTTTGTTTTGAGAAAAAAATTGGAATGAAACTCGACATAGCATTGTGTTTTAACATTGAAGCACAGCTTCGAAACTGGTGTGCTAAAATTTAGCATTTTTCGCTGTAGCATGCTATATATAGCATTAGCATGCATGCCTCTTTGCATTGGTCATGGTATATAAAGTCTGGACTCCTCTTAAGTCTTTTTGTGTGTGCTGTTGTTTTTATTTGGTTTCCATATAAGTAGCGAACTGAGTCAGTCACCTGCTCGTTCTTGATGCAGCTTTTTGATCGCCATCGGGGCAGACGGGTGCCTGTGTGAGCTGGGAAGGAAACAAACAAGTGCACCCCAAGATTGTGGGAAGGCCCACTTGTAAGTCCTTGTAAAAAAAGAAACTTTCAGATTGGACATAATGATTTTGCCCTTTTTCTAACTCTGTTGACAGTAGAAATTTTTCTTTCATCCTATGATTGTCAATGGGTTCTGATAAAAAAAAATTTGTGTAGAAGTAGGAGAAGAGAAAAGAAAAGAAAAGCAAAAAAGAGAGTGAGAAATGGAAAATAGAGAGATTTAAAAAAAGAAAAGAAAAGGAGACTGATTAATCTGTACTTCCAGCTGTAATCTGTACTTCCAGCTGTTATCTGCAACTTTAAATTTCCAGCCTTTGGTGATGGAAAGCTGTTTCATCAAGCAGACTTTGATGCCATGTGGCTGCATTTCTATCAGCAAATCACCACTATTTTTGGTCATGGCGTTTTGAGTTACTCTTAATGAAATATATGGAGTGGATTGGAGATCAACTTGAAAGCAAAACAAAAAGTATATAAACTTTTTTTTTTTTGGTTGTCTTGGATGTGTTCCGAGTTAGACATTGTCGTTAGCGAGCAGGTAAATGATGTCGTATCCAAGGATTTCTCTTTTTTTTTTTTTTTTTTTTTTTTTTTTTTTTTTTTTTTTTTAACTTTCATGTAGTTTTTGAAATTTTACAATTTTTTTCGTTACAAGATTGGATACCATGGATATATGGATTAATGTTTTTCTCGCTGTTGCAAGATGTTGCTTGGTGGTTAATTCATTCTTTTATTGTACAATCAACTATTTTTTTTTCTGGTATTGCTTTAAAGGTTTCTTTTTGTTCTCTCTGTAGTAGGGCCTTCCTATCGGTATAACTTCTCTCTGTAGTAGGGCCTTCCTATCGGTATAACTGTTAGATTTAGTTAAAATTAGACTATATTAAAATTGTATGCAGAATATATAATTTTTAATACATATTTAACTGTTGAAAGTAAGCTTTTTCGGTAGTTTATTTTTTCAGTGCTTACCTCAAATTTCTTTCACTTTTAAAAAAAAAAAAATGCCAATGGTTGTGAACTTGAAATTTCCGGAACTGGGCATCTTTATTATATATTATTTTATTTTTGTGATAATTATATTACATGGTAAAATTTTATACCTTCACTTGAAATTTAGTAAAATTTTTAAAATATCATATTTAATTGTTGAAAGTAAACTTTTTCGGTAGTTTATTTTTTCAGTGCTTACCTCAAATTTCTTTCACTTTTTAAAAAAAAAAATGCCAATGGTTGTGAACTTGAAATTTCCGGAACTGGGCATCTTTATTATATATTATTTTATTTTTGTGATAATTATATTACATGGTAAAATTTTATACCTTCACTTGAAATTTAGTAAAATTTTTAAAATATTATAAATATAAGCAAAAATGACCGTAATTATCATAATGATATCCTATCTTATACTATATAATGATAGTCATTATTTTAATGACATAAAAATGATATAAAATTTTACTTTTCTTGTAATATTTTAAAATTTTTGCTAAATTTAAACTTTATATAACAAAATTTTGCTATATGAGTAAATCACCTGGAAGAGTGGTGGCCTAATTGGTATGTTTTGATACGCGGTGCAGCGAGAAGCACTAAAAAAAGTTGCCTAAAAGTTCCATAGAAATTATTTAAATTCTTCTTATATATATATATATATATAAAATAACAGCAACTTTTTTATATTAATTTTATGTCCGTAATTCGTTAGTAAATTTATAATTTATTTGAGTAAATAGATAGTTTACTTGATTGTTAATAATCTGATAATGTATTGGAATGATAATCTCATATTCCTTCTTTTCATGCTTAAGGAGTACTCGAACAAATTGCTTCGGTGCCCTGAGGTATAATTTGCGCTTTGCAACAAAAAGCTATTCTAAAGTACCAAAAGAAAAATAAGAAACAGTAAAAAAATAATAATAATAATAAAAAACAACAATTAATAAGCTACTCCAGTCTAGACAGCATAGAAAGAAAGAAAGAAAATAATAATAATAATTTGGATGTTGCGCTGCAAAATGACAATATACATTGAATTAGTAGCAGTGCTAGTTCTTAAGTTTTGAGCACTAAAATATGTAAAAATTTTCCTTTTATATATAAAAATTTCAGTTACGATGTGATTATCTTTATAAAATTTTAGAAGTTATTTGTCAATTTTAGTATAGGATATTGAAATATCACTTTCACGTTCTTCCTCAATTTGAGTTTGTTCTGCACACACACCCATTGTTTAGGTTATATTTCTTAATTAAGCAACTGAACGACTTAGCAATCTTTTTTGAGTAAGGAAAAAAAAAAGAGAAAAATGAAAAAATGGGCACAAGCCAAATGTCATCATTATTTGATGCTCTGGGATTTCATTAGAAAAATTTAAGATTTAAATCCCCAACCCAAATATCAATCACTTAAAAAGCGCGTTTAGAACTCGTTCTAAAATGATTTTATTTTTTTATATGAAAATGAAACTGAAAACGGTTTCAATCTAAGACATAAATTATTTTTAAAAATGTGTTTGATAATTTTATCAAGAGATTATTTTCAGTATAAAAAACCTATTAATATCTCTCTTTCTCTCTCTCTCTGCTCGAGAGAGGAGAAACGAAAATAAAAAATGAAAATGACTAAAAATCATTTTTCATTTCTCATTTTACACTAAACTAGAAAATCATTTTCATTTTCATTTTTTTTATTGCGCCAAACATCGTTTTTAAAACGTTTTCATTTTTTCTTTCTCAAAAAACATGAACAACAAAAATGAGATAAATTCCAAACACGACCCTAATGCTGATAAAGTGGGTTAAATCATCAATATGGTCTAATACTTTGTATTAGAAATTACAGTACATATTAAGGATTTTAAACTATTCAACGTGTGAATGTTGTCAAAGATTGTATTTTTCGAAATTTGGATAATAAAGCATGGAGTGCTATTAAGACTAAAAGTACCCTTAGTGATTGTCAAGTCACTCTACATTCTTTAGTTGATAAAGAAATTTCAGTGAATCGACCAAAAGTCCATAGTGTTGGATGGTGGCACTTACTTCTTAAGAGCGTTTCTTGAAAGTCAGTCATTTTCTAGGGAATGTTTTTCCTGTCTTGAAAGCTGAAGGAAGTCAAGTATCTATCTAGTACTACGTGAGCCAGTCAACAGAATTTCTCACGATAAAGAGTTGCTCAAGGTCAGGGACTCGAGGTCAAATCAATCTTCAAAGGACTGAGAACTTCAACTACAGTCTCAATTGCAGCTACATCCTCCCTGAAACTTAAAAGAAAAGAATAAATTAACGAGTAAAGTGATTCACAAGTGTGAAGCACGAACGAATAGGAGGGAGAGATCTTAGCGTCCCGACCATTCCGAGATTAAGAATGGAGTAAAGAGACGACCTTATTATAAGACAACATCCACATCATTTACATAGCATTTCATCCTCCTACTTCTTGTCTTCCAACTCTTAGATTAACTTTCATGGATCATTTTCTTCTAGACATGCTTCTTGTGCAAACACCAACACTCCTGTCTTGTGCAGTTGGAATATATCTAGCCCAGGATTCCTCCTTAACCGACCGCTTTCTTTTGGGTTTTGAAGCCGACCGCTTTCTTTTGGGTTTTGAATCCATTGACACACCGGAACTCTCGGAAGTTTCGTTCCTCGACGTTCCGGGCATATCATTGTAGATGTTCTGAATGAGCAAATCATCATCAGAGTGTCCCAAAGTTGACAGCAAATAATCGCGTACCGCGCTCACAGGGAGATCATTCAAAGATGGCAACGAATTATTCTCGCTTTTTGCCAAAAGTATGTTGGACTTGGCAGCAGCACAAGTCCCTTTCGAGACATCTAGATCGGCATGCTCCTCCCAGTTATACGGAAAGCCATGAAGAAATTGAACGCATACCTATCATATTAGAGCATACAACCCAAACTTTTTAACTTGATACAATATATTTATAGATATACATATATTTTCAAGAGAGCTTCAAACAACAAAATCTATCCCTGAATTGTTGGCCTGAGCAATTAGTGTAAACATTTTCTAAACAATACCAACACTAATTTATGAATCCACTTCATGTGGGTAGCATAGGGATCCATATGCCACGAGGGCCGCCCCGGGGTTATTTGAGTTTTCCACTCCTATCCCTATAACCCTAGTAGGTTTTTTTTTTTTTAAAAAAAAAAAAAAGAAAAATGAAAGAAGGAAGAAGAAAACAATAAGCTGTAACAAAAACAACAATCGAAGATAAATCAAATAGGTCAATGTATCGAGAATTGAAGAACTGAATGGAGAATGGTTGTGAGGTGGATGGCATGTAGGCCTTGCGCATATTCGTTGAATTAGATAATTTTTCTTCAAAATCTTCTAACCAAAAAAAAAAAAAAAATGAAACAATTCTAGAATGAAATAAAAGAAAAGCAAACTAAAAAGGTTGCGCTTATTGCCTGAAACATGAAGTAAAGGTGCTAGACAATTCAACCTTTATCAAGGTTAATCTGCCATGCACGGGTGAAGAAAACAAACCCACTATTCTGACCCTCTAAATCTGTTGCTGAGTTATCAGTAAGGTTTAATCTGCCCACCTCTCCGGCGGATGGGCAAAGAAAGCAAACCCCTATTCTAGTTTTATCACTAACGGGATTAAAACCCCCCTTTATGGAAGACCAAGATTCTTGAGAGGCAAATGACTTAAAAACACAGCCCAACATAACTACTAGGCACTAGCCAATAATTGCATTTTTTTAATATTTATTAAAAAATGCCAATAACTGGGATTTTCCTATGTTTATTTCAAAAAGCCTGAAACAAAGTACAACTCCTTCAAACTCGCTCGTTTTATGTCAGACAAGAACCATTTGCAAGGCTTACATGCTCATCATGTGGTCGATTTGGTTGATTGAGATTTACAAGGAATCCCTAATACCAGAGCTTATCCTTATAAGCAGAGTTGAATTTCTATATTAAAGGAAGGATTAAAATGATCATGTGGTACAATAGGCAAGATCCATGTAAGGTGTGGTAGCATTGTTTCTCAAGCTAAACCTTCTTCCCCAAGTTGTTAGCTTTCAATAGCGCGATTCAGTTCTTAACCAGCATTCTGACCCGAAAGAGCATTTTATTAGGACGTTCAACAAATGGAAGAAAGAAAGAAATCCAATACCTCATATGGAAACCCATTCTGATGAGTCCGTGACATATTCAATGAACCATCGATTGAAATTGTCATGCCATCAGACGTCTCCAGAGTGGTGGCACAATGTCTCTTTAAAATTACTGGAGAGTTATATTCTCTTACTCCTAGACCCCTGTAATATGAAAACAGTCGGTGCTTTTTTAGTAATGAGAAAAAGAGATTCTCCAGATTTCTTTGATTATTGAGAATTTTCGTCTCTTTAAAAAAAAAAAAAAAAAAGTTTCAACTTGGAGATTGCAAAGATGCACACAAAAAGAAAACCAGATCAGATTTCTAGTCTCACAAAAAGAAAAAGTTTCCAATTCCCAACTTAACTATATTTCACTAAATTTTACGCCATAATTTTGACTTGAATTCTCACAAAACATGAAACAGTTCCCAATTCCCAACTGGGTTTTTCTTTTAATCATCTGGAATGAAGAAATTTAAAGAAGAAAAGAACTTCTCATTTGCATTTGAAAACTAAACAGAAGGCCGAAGTAGTAAATGACAAACTGGGAGAAATAAAAGAGTTCTACAATCTCCAAGCAAAGCCTCCAACAGCCAAGCCCTTGCCATTGACCTTTATCAGCCACCAATCTTTCAAAAACACCTACACAATAACAAATACATTCAATAACTTCCATTACTATATATACACACACATATACATACATACATATGGAAAGAGAAAGTTATGGGAATTTACAGTTTTTTCAGTGGCAGAGACAATGGCAGAAGGTTGCGAGGAAAAGGGGGTTTGGGGCTTTTGAGCAGATGATGTTGAAGCTGAACCCAAACATCTTTTGGCTGGAGTTAGAGAGGAAAACGGGTGTGGGGATATTTGATTTTGATTTTGTGCATCTGAACCCAAAGATCTTTTGGCTGAAGTTAGAGAGGATAATGGGTGTGGGGGATTTTGATTTTGATTTAGCTTTTGATCGTGGGCATCTGAACCCAAAGATCTTTTAGCTAAAGTTAGAGAGGAAAATGGGTGTGGGGAATTTTGATTTTGATTTAGCTTTTGATCGTGGGCATCTGAACCCAAAGATCTTTTAGCTGAAGTTAGAGAGGAAAATGGGTGTGGGGAAATTTGATTTTGATTTAGCTTTTGATCGTGGGCATCTGAACCCAAACCTCTTTTGGTTGAAGTTAGAGAGGAAAATGGGTGTCGGGGATTTTGATTTTGATTTAGCTTTTGATCGTGGGCATCTGAACCGAAACCTCTTTTGGCTGAAGTTAGAGAGGAAAATGGGTGTGGGGAAATTTGATTTTGATTTTGCTTTTGATCGTGGGCATCTGAACCCAAACCTCTTTTGGTTGAAGTTAGAGAGGAAAATGGGTGTGGGGAAATTTGATTTTGATTTTGCTTTTGATCGTGGGCATCTGAACCCAAACCTCTTTTGGTTGAAGTTAGAGAGGAAAATGGGTGTCGGGGATTTTGATTTTGATTTAGCTTTTGATCGTGGGCATCTGAACCCAAACCTCTTTTGGCTGAAGTTAGAGATGAGTGTGGACGATTTTGATTTTGCGCTTTTGATGTTGATCTTGTATATCGTCTGAAAACTTTCAAGTCTACTACTGTTTTGGCCATTTCACATAACAGCCAAAATGAATGCCAGAAATGCTGAGTCCCTTCTTTTTTGTTTTCTCACTCTATGAGGACTGCCACTACATAATAAAAAGAAAACAATTACATATATAAAAGTAGAGATCACATATATAAAGGGAAAGATTCAATTCAAAGTCATAAATACAAAAAAAAAAAAAAAAAAAAAAAAAAAAAGAGAGAGAGAGAGAAATTAAAAAAAAAACAAAAATTTTTTTTTTTTTTTTGTTGGTGTTGAACAGGAATCTATTGAAGAAAGAGGAACTGATGCGACAAAAAGGGGCCAGAGGTCACACTCACAATAATTAAACCCAGATTCCACCAAACTCAAATTCCTCATGAAAAAAAAAAACGAAAAAATTACAAATGACTTGGAAGTTTCTAGCACCCTGTATATATAAAAAATTTGCAATGATTTGAATTATCAATTAGATCTTGAAGAAACCCATAACAAAAATTTGATGATTTTCGAGTATCCATGGATAACAACGACGAGGGTCAAGAAACCAAACCAGTCGGCTCTACGCTGGCGACGTCAGCCACTCTTTCACCCTCTTTCGACGATTTGCAGGGTCCTTTTCCTTTTCTCTTTTCTTTCGGGAGTTTTTTTTTTTTTTTTTTGGTTCTTCATCATCTCGGGAAAAGAGAAAATGAGGCATTAAGGGCCTGTTTGTTTCTTCAAGTCAGTCCGTTAGTTTGATTTGATATTTTACAAAAATTTTAAAATATTAAAAATACAACAAAAATAACATAATAATTATTGGTAAAATCTCCGGTCTGATATTTGTATATTTTTTTAAAATATGTATATATTTTTTATAATGTGTATATTTTTTTAAATATATTTTATTTTTAAAAATATATACACATTTTTAAAAAAATATACACATTTTATATAAAAATGAACAAGTATCGCACTAATCTAATCTAAGCATCAAACTCGAGACAATTCTAATAATTATAATAAAATCATATTTTGTATTATATTTTACGGTAAGGTCTCTGGTCAGACACTTAGAAAGTACTTGATCAGTCAGACATTTATATTATTATGTATGAATTATGTATATTTACAGGTAAGTTGTATATATTTACATGGTACTTGTATAATTGTGCAATCATGTATATTCACATGTAAATCATACATATTTACATATAAATCATATATGTTAAATCATAAGAAACGACAATGTATATTAATCTCAAAACATGTATTTTTTATAACAATTAGTGAACACATAGCATGAAAATATGTATATTGACTGATTTGTTGTATTTCATGTTAAATATACACAACTTTACATGTAAATATATATAATTTATGTATAAATATACACAATTTATACATAATTATACAAGTGTCTGATTGATCAGTATTTTTTAAGTGCCTGACCAGAGACAATTCTTATATTTTATACTATATAATAATATAATCATTATTTTAATAATATAAAAATAATATAAAATTTTTCTATTCTTATAATATTTAAAAAATTTTGATAAATTTTAATTTTAATATTAAAATTTTACTATCTTATTTAGTTATCTGATTTAAATTTTTAATTATTATTCCTGGCTTTCCTATTTTGCCTTGAGACATCACTTTCTTCTTAACGTTGTCACTCAATAGCAGACTATATTCACTTCCTCCTCCATCTCCTTCTTCGCGCCTCTACCTGGATCTCCAATTTCAAACTTCGATTGTCCAAATTCCATCGTAATCTCTGATTTCGAATTATTGAAGGTATTTTCTCATCTCCTTTCATTTTTTTTTTCCAGTTTTCTTTCATCTTCTCGACATTACATGCTTATGACGAGCTATTTCTTCTAGAAACCGTAATGGAGCAATTGAAATTTTGCTAAATTTTTTTCCAAATGAGTTTTTTGAGGATTTAGAATTTAGAATTTAATGTTGTTTTGATTGTTCGATTATCAAATTCCCTATCTAATTGTAATGCCAGGCATTTTCGGATTTTGGTTGCAATTCTTTGGAATTTTGATTGTCATATCAAATTCGGAATTTTGTGTTTTGATTTGTAATTTTTGTTAATTTTGCATTTGTTCTAGTTTGTTAGAATTATTATTTGAGAATCTGTTGTGTTTTCTTTGTTTGAGAGTTGGTGAAGAGATGGGAAAACTATAATAAGGTCATGATGAGACGGCTTTCCTGCGCACTTCTTCAACTACCTCGACCGCTTCTACGTTGCGTTGAGTTTGCGCCCCACGTTGCATGAAGTTGGGGTAATCTGCTTTAGGGACATGGTTTACTTAGAGATGAAGGCAATGGTCGTTGATGTTATGATCGATATGATCGAGAAAGATCGCGAGGGAGATCAGGAAAATGTTGACAAAATATGGCTTATCTACTCAAGAATGTTGTGAATGTGCTTGTGGAAATGGAGACACGAGAATTGGAGAATTACAAGCAGGACTTTGAGGCAGTTATGGACACGATACAAGTAATTAGTACTCTTCTGGAGAAGAGAGAAAGAGAGAGTTTCTTGCTACTTGAATGCGAGTACCAAACAAAAGTTGCACGGTGACGAGAGTCCAACATGAGTTGTTGGTTGTTCACGCGACACAGTTGCTGGTAAAGGAGGATTCGGCATCTCGAGCTTTTGCCTCGCGATGATAAGATCGAGGATCTCTCAAGAGCGTTTAAGCTTTACCGTGAAGTACACGAATGACAGCTTGAACCGGTCGCGAAAATGTTGTGTTACTAATGGAAGGACACTGTTGGTTCAGTTAAATGCTGAAGATGGTGCCAGTATTAGTCTTGTGATGAAGATAATTGAGCTTCATGACACGTCCATGACATGATATGTAAATGGTTGTTCCGAGAAACATGCTTTTCTCCAAAAGTGTTGGTCAAGAACGCAAAAATTACATTTTGACAAAACGAAAGCAGCAATATGGCGTTCAGTTCACATAAAAAATGGAGGCAATGTTGACTGATATGATATCACACTGGCAAAGGAAAGTCAAAATGAATTCAAAAGGTGTCTTCAAGTTTGAGGCTAATTACGTCAACATATCACGCTCTTGTGCTTCTTTTGTTCAATGCTTTTGATGGGTTAAGCTATTCAAAAATAAGAGCGGAATTGAACATAGACGGTTAGGACTTGATCAGATTACTTCATTCTTTGTCTTGCTCCCAAGTACAAGATTCGTAGGAAGATACCAAACACGGCGACCGTCTAACTAAACAATGTTTTCGAGTTTAACGAGAAGTTCAACAACAGGATGAGGAGGATTAGGATTCCATTGCCAATGCAGGCGCTATAGATGCCGCGATAATGCGGATTATGAAGAGCAGGAAATTTTTGGGGTATCAGCAGCTGGTGATAGAGTGCGTTGGCTCTTAAGCCCCGTGTTTAAGCCTGATATTAAACTAATTAAGAAGAGGATTGAAGATCTAATCACACGTGAATATCTTGAGAGACAAATAGATTATCCAAACACGTTCATGTACATTGCTTAATTCAGATTGGGATTATCTAGGACTAGGATGTTCATTTTCTTTTCTTTTTTCTTTTTCACTATTTGTTATGCTCATTTTTTTGTCCTAATTTATGCTAAATTTGATAGTTGAACTTGCATCTATTTATTTATTTATTTGTTTTGGTTGTGGATGGATATATAGTAAGTCACGTGTTAATCGATATTTGAATTTTGGAACAATTTTTGGAATTTGACGAGCTCAAATGGAGTGATTTAATCTTTTTCTTTTCTTAAGGCAAAAGATTTTTTGTCATGGAAATTATATAATACACATATATATAGAATTCTGTATTTTTGTTTAATATTCTATTTTTCTCAAAATCCAACGCAATTGTAGGAAAATGTTATGCTGGGTCTGCATTTTTTTTGTCACGTATTATCTAAAGCCTCTTCTTGCTTTTATTATGTACATTATTTGCTCCTCTTCAAGGTTTCCACTTTTAGACGAGGGAATCCATTTTCGGAGTCGACAAAGTTCCAATGGCTGTGCGTTGGATACGACCTTCGCCTCTGGAAAGTTTCACTTTCAGTTGCCGCGGATCACTCAGATTCTGTTCCCGGCTCCTCTAACTCTATGACTAACGAAAGTTTTAACCCTCCTGCAGAAATTAATTCAAGTTGTTGAAAGAGAACTGGGAGACTAATCTTTACAAGTGCTGAAATTGAGAGAACAGTGGAGGTTTGTGCTTTCTATCAGAGTGTGTAGTGTGATGTTTACCAGAATTGGTTCGCTGAAAGTTGAGGTTTGCGGTTTGGTAGGAAATTTTCCGGACAAAATATAAGCAAATCAGTAGATGAAGGTTTGTCCGTCCTCAACTAAGTTTAGTCATGTATTATCTTATGAGAAGCGAATATCAATATAGTGAATCAGTAGTATAAATTCAGTTCGTAAGAGTATTAGAAGCTAAGACAGGCTTTACTTTTGGCTGCTTATGAGAAGTTCATGCTTATGGTGTCACCTGTTCTACGATGAAACTCGAGATGCCTAAGATATTCAAATCTATCTGCTGGAGGACCAGAATCAAAGTTTGGTCCTCCCTTCAAACAAAAATGCAGTTCCATCAATGGTAACAAGAATCCTTATCACTTACATCCTAACTTTCATTACTGAATATACTAAATCATGACTTCTGGACAAGATTTTACCAAAAATAGTCACATACAAGTACACTACACAGTAGTTGGGAAATTAAGCTGTGCTGAAAACCATCGCTTCATTATTGTTCGTTTACGAAAGAATGTCAAGCAAGTATGCTTTCTCTAAAGCCACAAAACAAATGAAAGAATTGCTATGAACAGTGCTACTATCTACGGTACTGGTGTAGAGAGCAAGGATTTCTAAGAACAATGACTACACTGCTACAGTCAACATCTACATGTGCTTCGATCACAGAGATAAAGAGATCTATCTCAACTTTGGTGTTGTTGGATATGAGCTCTTTTTCCGGATTGCTTCAGGGCATTTCTTCAATGCGCATAGACATTCACATGGTTCAATCTGCCCCTTGCGCCGAGAACACCTGTACAGAATATAGATTGAATACATCAAACTCACATTATAAGAGCTAACAAAGAGAAGATAGGCATGCCTAAATATATATATTCTTCATATATGTATAGTACATATATATTCAAAACACCAGCATCTTGTTTTTAAACTGACAAGAAAACAGATTCAATCTCTAAACTGGTAGCTGGATCGGATTCAGGCACCGAATTACCAGACAAAAGGCAATTTGATGGGGATGGGGATAAGCACCGATACAAATAGATGTCCAATTGAAAATTTAACCAAACACGTAACAATTGCTGTAGTAAAGTTGAAAAACAGTGAATATGATTGAAATTCAATTAAGGATCATTAAAGTTGAAGGAAACAACATAACACTTTCTTCTTACTTCTGTGAATGAAAATTTAGACCCCAGATGCAAAAGCAAGAATGACAACTTACTTTCAGTATTCAACTGAACAATACCAGCACACAAGGCACTCAAACAACAGAGAGTCATTGAGTTCTTTTTAATATAAGCTTTCCAACAACAACAACAACAACAAAAATGAAAAACTGATATTTGGACTTCCAAGCACGCCAAAAACCTCTTACAGTTAATTGATAACTATTAACAATACCACAGTACACCACAACCCAAAGAAAACTCCATCTCGACCTTTTTAGCAAATATCATGCTAACCCATCTTCGAAAAGAATCTTATTGTTATATCCTACATACTAAAGTATACAAAACACCCCTTCATCCTAATAGACCTCAACAGTCTGTATACCATCTAATGCAACTAAAAACAGAGTTTAGGGACTAATCACCCGAGAGAGAGAGAGAGAGAGAAGAACAGAAGTTTGACGACTAAATTGTCACAACCCCATAAAAAACACAAAACACCCATCAACGATATATATGTGTGTGTGTGTGTGTGTGTGTGTATATATATATATATATATATATATATATCTACACACGCATATATTTACAACAAAACACCCATCAACGATATATATGTGTGTGTGTGTGTGTGTGTGTGTATATATATATATATATATATATATATAAATATATCTGCACACGCATATATTTACAAACAGGATTAAGCAAGAATTCAATGAGTCATTTCAAAAACTCATTCAAAATCTTGCACCAAATCTCATAGGCATAAAAGAAATAACCCCAACAACATTGAAAAAGAAATGAATAAAGAAAGAAAGAAAGAAAGAGGGTAATAAGCAAATGCACAAGACTTACCGGAATCCGAAGAGGAATGATTCTTGTTTTCCTGGGCCTGAGGAAAGATGAATTGAATGTTGTTGTTCTGCTGCTTAGAGCTAAGGAGGAAATCATACTCCTTTCCGACAAGAGGACCGAGCCCAATGTGAACGTCCTTCCACATCCTCCTCTGCTCCACAATATTCACAAACCTCAGAGCCTCCATTACTTCCCTTGAGTACCTCATTTTCCCTTCCTCTTTCTTCTTCTTTTTCTCCGTCGTTGTCCCAGTTTTCCCTCCTCCATTCTCCTTTCTTCTCGTCATTGTCTCCCTCTTCGTCTTGTTCTTCTTATTCTTCTTATCCTCAGCCGTGTCTTCTTCTTTAGGATTCTTCTTGAATGCAAGTTTCGGCATCGAAATTGATCCGATCAACGCCGTTTCGTCGATCACTTGAATCTCCAAAGAACCATTTGATCCCAATTGAAGTTCTCTCTTTTTCCCGAATTCTTGCTTCTTGTCTGCTTCAGAAAACCCTAAAATCCCAATCGAACCTCCTCCGTTGAGTTTCGAAGATTCTTGATCTTCTTCTTTGGGGATGGAATCGGAAAAGGAGGTTTCTTTTCCATTCTTCTTCACAATCAGATCGGAAATGGAAATGGATTCGTCGCCAATTAGGACTTCGGAATTGGGAATCAGAGCAGCAGAATCGGAACCCTCCTTCGGAGAAGATTTGGTGGAAGAATCTTGTTGAACAATCAAATCTTGTTTGCGATCAGAGGAAACAATCTCCGGTGGAGATCGAGAATCTCCTTCTTCGATGAGGGAAGAGAGAGAATCGGAATGTTGCGTTTCACCAGCCATGGAACTTGGAAGAGAGAGAGAGAGAGAGAGCTTTGAGTTTCAGACTTTCAGTTTCGGAGAATAACGGATCTTTTTTTTTTTTTTCTGCTTTGAAAGGCTTTGGTCGAAATGATCACCCATTAAATAAACAAGGCTTTGGTGTTAGTCATTTCACTATTTTTTGGCATTAAAGTTTAATTTTGAGTATTTTAATTTAAGTTTATTTTAGTTTGATTTTGTTTTAATTGATTTTATTTTAGTGTGATTTTATTATATTTTATTTGGTTTAGTGTTAATTTTATTTTGTTCTTATTTAGTTTCCCTTCCAAAATAATTATTTTTCTCAATTGTGTGATTAAAATAGGTGAAAGGAGTTATTGGAAATTTGAAGCTCAAATGTGGTAAAAAGAAAAAAAATTTAGAATGAGCTCCAAGAATTGTCAACCTCACGAATAAGTAAAAGCCCCAAACTCCCCATCTCAGCCGTTCGATCAGCGCCCAGATGGATCCCAGCGCGCGCATGCACCACAACGCCCTGGAGAGCTGAGGGAAGAAGAAAAAAGTGAGGAAAAAAAAAGAATTTTTTTATTTTAGGTTTTACTTTTAGTTTTTATTTTAATTCTTAGCTTAGGTATTTAATTTTTGAAAACACCATTCAAGTTAGCATTTTGGAGATTCAAAAAGGAAGAAAAAGAAATTTGGGAGGGGAATTTTTGGAGACTGTAACACCTTCATTCGGTGATTTTTTTTTTTTTTTTCATTTTATTCTATTTGTTTTTGTAAACTCTAAGAATGCTTGGTTATTCATGTAGGCTAATTTTATTTTATTTTTTAATTATGGTTTGATTTTTGTTGACATGGGGTTTCAATTTAACTTCTTTATGTTGCTTTGATAACTCAAATTTCTTGTGTTTGCCTAACTATTTAGAAAGACAAATAAAGATAATTTAAGGAAAAATACTTAAAACATTACAAGATTCCAAAAGAAGGAAAGAAAAAGAAAAGACTAACAAGCGAGTATTAAAAGTACAAAATGTAGGAAAATCCATTTTGCCTTCCAGATAATATAAGTTGTATATAGATGCTCAATTATTGATTTATATAAAAATTAAGATTTGACAAGAATAGACAGACAAGCATTGCTTTATATATGTAAAATCTTTTGTGCCTCGATATAATACTCATTTTGCCTAAGTATAATAGTCAATAAAACGTATCCACCACCGTGTTACATATAACTTATTTCAGTATTACTATGTTACACTAATGACATGTTTACCTACGTATAATTAGAGTGGACATGATTCAGAGTTGATAGGATTCGGAGTGAGGAATCAGAGTCATAATAAATTATTTACTTAATAAGATTTGGAATCAGAGTCGTTTCAAATCTCATTCATGCGTTTACTTATACTCAAAATCAGAATGAACTGGTATAAATGTACTAATATACTCTTTAAGTCAATTTTATATTTTTAATTTAAAAAATAAATTGTGTACTTATTATATTAAAATTAATCATAAATAATATATTTACTATAATAATATGGTAATATAATAATAAATATAATTTTTACAATTATTTCAAATATAAAAATAAATTGTCAAAATTTAAATAAAATAAATAAAAATGAAAAATATTGTTAAAAAATTAATATATATTATTAATTTATTAAACAAAATAAAGTACATATTTTACTATATTAAAATTAACAATAATTAAGCTAATATTATAATATTAGGCAAATAAAATAGTAAATATAGGTTGTAATTATTATTTTTTAAATTTTATATTTATAAGTAAAATAGGGGTATGATAGTAATTTAATATTAATATTAAGAATGAGAATCTCAATCCCAAGGGAGGGCATGAGAGTGCCAATCCAATTCTTCAATCTCAAATTTGAGTAGGGTCGACTAATCCTACTCCCATTTCAAGATTAAAAAAAAGTAATTAAATATGAGATTAACTCTCATTCTTCAATCATAATAAGTAAACATGTTATAAAAATTATGAGCATATATGAAAATTATTATTACTCCCATTTCAAGATTAAAAAAAAGTAATTAAATATGAGATTAACTCTCATTCTTCAATTATAATAAGTAAACATGTTATAAAAATTATGAGCATATATGAAAATTATTATGCCAACAGTACCGTACGACCGCGAGACTTAAGATCATGCCTACGTGCATATACGTATTACAATTATTTTTATTGGTATTATTATTATTGAGAGAAGGAAACACATATTTGTGTGGGTGATATTGAAGTGTAAAAGTGATGAACAAAAACAAAAGCTGTGTTTGAAGTTATTTTTTTCACGCTTTTTGAGAAAGAAAAAATAAAAATAGGAGAGAAATGACATTTAATAGAATTAAAGACAAAAATAGAAGTGAAAATAATTTTTTAGTTTAGTGTAAAATGAGAGAAAAATAAAAAATGACTTTTAGTCGTTTTTTATTTTTTGTTTCCGTTCTCCTCTCTCGAGTAGAGAGAGAGATATTAATAATTTTTTTTATACTGAAAATAATCTCTTGATAAAATTACTAAACGTATTTTTAAAAATAATTTATGTCAAAAATTAAAAACGTTTTTATTTCAATTTTAATACAAAAAATAAAATTATTTCGAAACGAGTTCCAAACACACCTAAAAGTTCGCTCTCTCTTTATCCAACATGTCCCAATTGATTTCTGAGATGCAAGTTTTTATTCTCTGTAGGAAATGTAATTTCTGTCAACAGTTGTTGATTATACACGGCAAAGTGTACCGGATGGTGATTTTCATACGCTAAATTCATAAAAAGAACCGAGATAGAATCTATTACTTTTGAGTAAATTTATCAAAAAACAGTTCATGTGAAGAAACAAATTAAAATGCATCAAAAGTATGGAAATTCCTTGATACAACATACAACAGATAATGATCAAAAATATAAAAAATAAAAAATTCAATTAGGCTGTCCAGTAAATGTTCTGCCCCATTACAAATATGCAAAATCAACAGTGAAAAGAAACAATTTTTTTCATGAAAAATCATACACGTTTAGAGAACCAGAAATATAATTTTTTTTTTTAAAAAGGAAAGAAAAAACATTTTAAGTAAGAAATATCCCATCCTCATATTAGTCTTTTACACCCTTGGTTCACTATGAAACAGAACAACTTTAGCAATGCACATAAAATTGGCCAACCAACCCAAATACACTCCCAATCTCATTTTATGAAAATAAAAAATAAACAAATATATGCATATATAGCAACTTTCGTCTCAAAATCCTCGGGCGAACGAGACCAGAACATTCGAAGGATGAACAAATTTCAACTGACAACAGAATTGGCCAGCATTTGCTTATAACTCTTATAATGAAGAGTCCGGAGCAGGAGCTGGTGGTTTCAGAAGCGGTTGAAGTGCCTTCACAACAATGCTCATATTTGGCCGAAACTCGGCTTCATACTGAACGCACAAGGCGGCCACAGCTGCCAGCTGCATTGTTAAGGAGACTTGCATCAGGTGCTAAATTCTAACAGAAGTGTGAATATTTTGAATCCACAATAAATATATGCAGACATATATGCAAGACAATAGGGTTTTCAGTTCACGTGCCCTTCAAACATTTTAGCACTTTTATTCCTTTTTCTCTTTGCAATCTAGTACCTGAATTTCCAGGAGAATGGCAATAAACTCCAAAGGTTGATGATAGTTAAATTTTATGAAATTCTGGGACTAATTTGAAGGACTAAATTACCAAAAAAATAAGTTATCACACTTATCAAGAATGAAAGTGCCAAACTATGAGATGTTCAAATGGCACACATGCTAAAGTTCAAAATAAAGCTATCCATAATTTAACCCTCATTGACTATTGGAGCTAATTGCTACTATTTTTCTAAGCTCAAGGACTAATTTGCTAAGAAAAACTTTTAAGGACGAAGCGCCAAACCAGAAGAAATTTAAGAAGCACAAGAGTTAAAGATCCATAAATACAGAGTGAAGTGAGAGAGACCTTTGCAACTCCCTTTGGGGGATATTCTCCCTTCAGCTTTGGATCTACACACTGCTTAACCTTGTCTTCACTCAATCTTGGAGTAGCCTGCGGACACATACATATTTGATTATAAATCGTATTACTGCAATATTAACAGAAAGTCTGTTTGTAGATTACAAGAAACATATGAAAGCAGCAAATGGACTGACCCAAGTAACAAGACTCTGCTGTCCACGGGGCATGGTATGATCAACGGGTTTCCTTCCGGTCAAAAGCTCTAGAAGAACCACTCCGAAACTGTACACATCACTCTTCTGCGTCAGTTGTCCAGTCATTGCATACCTGCACAAAAGTTTTGCAACTCCATTCAATATGCTCTATTTCCAATAAAATAGAAAAAATTTGAACACCAACCGAATATAAAATCACCAGAAAATATTAATTCTTCACTAGTTTCAAGCGAAAGACAAGAGAAACGAGACGAAGTACAAGATTTCACCTCCCATCTACCAAGAAAGATTCTAAAAGTCCAAGAAAAGGAACGAGATTTCAATGCTCTGCATTATCGTTCTAAAGAATCTATGAACAGTTTTTCCGCAATAATAACTTTTACATTTCATCTCCACTAGTATTTACGTCGAAAGGAAATGATAACCAAGGTAACAAGTTTGGAAATGAACATCTTTTGTCACTAAGTTTAGGCTAATTACTGTCACTAAGTTTTGAACAACATTATCTGTCCATCATAAAATAGGAAAACAAGTCAACTAAATATTGCGGAGACTGCTATGTGAATCAAAAGCAGACCAAATAAGCAAGTTTGTAAACAGAAATCTGTCTTTCATAGATTTGAACCACAATTCAAACCTTTTCTTACTGTCACGGGCCATAATGTCTCAAATAAAGCAAATATAAACATGGAAAAAGAATTCAGAAACATTACTCTGGTGCATGATAACCAAAGGTTCCCAAAACTCGAGTAGAATGAAGACGGGCAGCCATGTCGGGGGCCTGATTCGAAAGATTAAAATCTGCTACCTTGGCTTTGAATTCTTCAAAGAGAAGTACATTGCTAGATCTGATATCTCTATGTATAATAGAAGGCTGAACCTTCTCATGCAAGTAGTCCAAACCTCTAGCAGCATCAACCGCAATCCTCACCCGCTGCATCCAGTCCAGAGTTGGACCTGGTTGTGCCCCTTGAACTCCCTTTCTACCTGTAATTGCAATTCATTTCAAATTCCTCTTAACTATTCCACACCTTGCAAACAACATTAAAGTCAAGAATTTCAATGTTAGTTTAGGCAAGATGAAGGTTGGCTGTTCTCACCATGCAGTATATCATGTAGAGATCCCATGGTGGCAAACTCATAGGCAAGCACACGGAGATTCCCTTCAACGCAATAACCAAGCAACTCGACAAGATTTTCATGCTTCAATCTAGAAACCATGGATACCTGTAATGAATTTCATTCATCATTATTGTTGGATGTACTATTGAAATTATGAGTAACAAAATGACAAAATTGTTTAAGGATAATTATAGTTCAGGAAATAATGTTGCATACCTGGGTCAAGAACTCGACATTTGTCTCAGGTTCAGATGAAACATCGAGCTTCTTTACGGCCACAGCTTTCCCATTGTTCAGGCTTGCGTAATACACTCTTCCATAGGAACCTTCACCGATTAATGCCTTGGATCCAAAATTGTCGGTCTTCTCTTTAAGCTCTTCTAGAGACAAAGCGGGAACTTCAATAGGAGGGGGTGCCGACTTTTGCACTTCAGGTTTGGCAGGAGCTGCGACCCTTGAACCATTTTTGTTTCCTAAACATGGACGATAAAGTAGACCAAATTAGTAGTTAGTAAAAGATGTCAGGAAAGCAAAAGATTGCAAAATAATTTATGAACAGTGGGGAAGAATAACACAATGCAAGCCTACCAAAATGGAGGAGGAGGAGGGGTAGGAAAAAAAAAAAAGAATCATAATCAAACTATTTAGTCTAAAATATATAACTAGTTAGTCTAAAAAATTTAGGTTTTTCTAGTTTTTATCTATCCTCAATTTTATTAGATGCGTCTTCAATATCACTAACAGCTAGAAGTTTCCTTCTTACAAACACTATACCTTACAGAAAATCTGCCCCATAAATTTGGTGTCGGACTTAATCTATAAATCATAAAATCTGCTTGTTCAGGACACAATTTAAGCCCCATAAATAAAAATTTCAGGTTTCAAATCGGAAGACCAAGATGGTTTTCAGAAAGATCTAAAATAGTTATAGGACAAATTGATCGGCACTGAAGCAGTTGTAAGCATGACATGACAACCATGCAAGTAAGGTCTTCAAAAAAGCCCAATGTTTAAACTAAACTATATCCCATAATTTCCTTTCACAAGTTTTTCTCATAATTAAACTCAAAGCATAGACATACCATCTGAATAGTTCCTCGGGCTCTTCAAATGTTCGTTTTCATTTGATGGATAAGACTCTTCCACTTGACAAGTGCAACAAAGCCACCTACGCATCCTGACTCTCTTTCTCAGATATAAATCGTCTTCCGCGTTCTTGTTTTCCAACCGTACAAAGTAACCGGGAGGTGGGGCATGTGCCTGCACAATGCCATAAAGGATATCATATTCAATACTGAAAAAAAAGGACCCTACAAAAGAAGCCCTAAAATCCATACTGCAAAAGACACCATATGATATATTTGATAAAAGTGCAGTTCAGACAAAGAAAACTAGATCAAAAAACAACTAATTAATCCCCATTAGCGTTATAGACATTATAGCAACCCAAAAGCACCATATGCAGTATGAAGCACCCATTAAACATCAAGCCAAATATCATCAACTCGCGAATAGGCACCATGACATATTCAACCGCCACAAAAATACAAACCTCAGGTCTAAGACAAAAATATCAATGTCCAAAAACAATAACAAAAAAGGAAAAAAAAAAGATGCAACCAAACAACATATTTGTTCTATGTTTATTCAATACAAGAATACTAAAGCATTTAGTGTAAAAAAAAAAAAAAAAAGTGATTCTAGCAGATATTGCAACATACTGTATACAATCCAAAATTCGCATAATAAACTAAAAATTCAAAGTAAAAACCACAAAATCCTCTCTAAGTAGTAAAATCCAGGAATTACAAAAAGCACTCCTTCTGATTAGCAATCCCTTTGAGATCCCTTTCCTCTAACACAATTGCCTCAACGTGAAAAAGAAAATAAAAATAACCCTAATTCTGAAATTAGACCAAATCTCATATCCTGGGTGGAATTTCTTCAACCTTATTTCACTAGAAGAATATTTAAATTTTTGTAAGTTTCTCAAGTTCGAAATTTGTTACGTTGTTGCAATATATCAGCCAAACAATGCCGAAATGACGTCCATCTCTTAAAGAACGAAATTGAGGGGAAAAGAATTCATAAATACACATTTAAAACCAGGGATTTTTCCTTATCTTTTGCTAACAAGTAGAATAAAGAAATCACATGTATATTGGAGAACAACAAAATTACAAATTTTAGACAAGAATTTATCAATTAAAAAATACAGAAAGAAATGGACCCGTAAATGCTTACCACTAAACCGCGCCGCTGATAATCTCTTCTTTCCATGAAGAAAAAGTAGAGGAAAAATATTCAAATATTCACAACAATGCCACACAAAAGAAAATCAACACCAAACCAAAACTAATTATCACAAAAAAAAAAAAAGAAAAGAAACCCAGAAATGAATTGATCATAGTTCTCCAAAACAAAAAAAAACAAAAAAATCAGAAAGTTCGAGAAATTAAAGAGAAAAAGAGAGAATTGCGAACAGCAAATGAAAAAAAAAAAAAAAAAAAAAAAAAAAAAAAAAAAAAGGAGAAGCAAATGGGATATAGAGAGAGAGGGAAGAGACTGAAAGGGTGAAATAGAAATTAGAAAGTGGTGTGAATTCTAAAATTAGGGATTTGGATGAAGCGAAACCCAAAATTAGGAAATGGAATTGGGAATTACCTGAGGGTGTGCTGGTGATGAATGTGCTGTGTCTCGCTTTTCCTTTTCTTTTTCTTTTTCTTTTGTTTTGTTTTTGTTTTGCTTTGTCTTGCTTTTCTGACGGTGAACAGAGAAAGACAGGTGGGATTTGGGGGTTGCTGGGTTGGGAAAGGAGTAGAGAGAGAGAGAGAGAGAGAGAGAATGACAGAGAAGCAACGCGGGGGACAAAAACAAAATGCCCTCTTTTAAATTTTTTTTTTTTTTTTTAGTACCTTCTCGAGTACATTAAATAGTTTATTTTTTAGATTAATTATAAAAATTCTTTATAACACTTTATTTTCTTATTTTTAAAACATAACATACTTTTTTTTTTGAATAATTTGTGAACGTTTAGTTCATGATTTCAGAATTATAATTCAGAACTATTCTCAATTTACGTATATTTTTTATGAGAAAAAATATTATAACGAACCACAAACTATAATTTAAATCATGACATGAATCCTTACTTCAAACGCTTATGTTAACAAAAGAACTCCATATGTTAAGTTCTTAATTGAAATTGACTTTTAATTTACTATTTTAAAGGTATTTTGATAAGTTTATTGTTTAAAATTTAATTTGAATCTGAACTAATTTAAATATTAAAAGAAAACATCATAAATTTGTTATTCTACAAAAAAAAGAATCAAAAATTTTTTAACTTATATTTAATCAATAATAGATATATCATAATTAAAAGTTTAAATTTAAATTTATTTTAAATTGCATGTCAATTTTTCTTAAAAAAAACCTAACGGATTAGACCTTTTTATTAACATTTTATTATTTAAGGTGAATTAATGTTACATTTTAAAAATTAGAGAATAAAGAATTATAAGAAGTATAATTTAAAAAGAGTTTTTGTAATTAATCTTAATTTTTTTTTTCTTTTAAGAAGATGCCAATTGCCGACCGTTACAATTCTTAATGAATAACGCGTGTGCGCGTTTTTTTTTTCTTTTTCTTTAATGGTTAGATATTTCAATTTTTTTAGTAGATATTTTCATTTCTTTTTTTTTAATCTTTTTTCAGAGACTTTTACAATAAAATTGTGTACTATATCCATACCAATAGAGAGGTTATATTATTTTTATTTGTACAATTTTTAATATTTTAAGGGATTAATTACAAAAATTTTCTAAATTATAATCTTTATAACATTTTACCTCCTAAATTTTAAAATGTAACATTCATTTTCACCAAATTATGATATCATAACAAATAACCTCCTTCTGTTAGGGTTTTTGATGGAAATTAAAATGTAATTGATTTTTGGTACATAATTTAGGGTTATTTTGGTCATTTAATCTTCTATAAAATCCATTTGTTTTATTTCAATAAAAAAGACCTGTTAACATAACTCAAATTTGGAATTTTGATGAAGAAGATGAATTGATTTTCTGTTTGCTTATATTAAATGTAAATTTGTTTTTTCAATTCATATTAGTGAAGCGTGTGCATAATAGTCAATATGCACCAAATATTTAGAAAGCACCACTGATTATATGCCATGGGTAATTTCGTCCAAAACCTTCACGGAAGGAGTTAGTTGTTATGATTTTATAATTTGAGGTGAGCGAATATTACGTTTTGACATTTAGAGAGTAAAATGTTAGAAGGGTCATAATTCAAGAGAAATTTTTATAATTAATTATATTTTAATGATGTCTAACCAATCACATTTCGTATAGAGTCAAACATTATGACTAAACTATATAGGGAAAATCATATGAGAAGTTATAGGGAAAATCATATGAGGTATACGAGAAATAGAATATAAACTATATGTGAAATATATATATATATATATATATATATATAACACTAATCCTATTCTAAAAGTCACTGATACATGAGAGGCACGTGATCTATTTCATATGGCCTAATTTTAGCGCATCAATATAGACAAGTCAGTTTTGAGATGTTTTAAACATAAGATTTTAACATTATAACATGTCAAATAATCATCTGATTTCTTCGAATTCGATATTGAGTGGGCAGTATGACTAGCATGCACAAAAACCAAAATCCAAAAATACATGGCAGTAAGTGACCGGTAAAGGTGCGTTTGGTAGATAGATTAAAAATTATGATTTTAGATCTTAGTTTAGAATTAATGTTTGTTTACAGTGATTTAGAATCATGATTCTGATTCATTCTGAATCAGTGTTTAGTTTAGATGATTTAGAATTATGATTCAGAATTTAATGTGATGTTTTAAACTAGTTCAAATTATGATTCTAAAACCACTCCCATTTTGATTTAAGATGATTAAAACTCTTAATTCTGAATTATAATTTTAAAATCATGAATCATAATTCTAATTCTAAAATTATGATTAGAATTGCTCTGATTTAAATCCTTATACCAAACGAATTCTTAACTTCATGACCAATTATAGGCAACTTTAAAATGAAGCTGACAAAACTTTTTTTTTTTTTTTTGGGTAAATTCTCCCTATGAAACCTCAATATAACTGTTCATTAAGGAGACCAAGAGAATAATAGAAAACACTACAAGCAAAGCTCATAATTTAAGCAAAAACCTTGCAATATAAGACAATAAAGCAACCCTTAGGAGCAACTCAAAATGATCATTAATCGAAGCACAAAGAAATCAGTGAAAAACTGCTTATCATCCTAAAAAGCCAGCTAAGCATCATTGACTTGGTCAGTCTTTACCTGACCAACTATCTAACACTACGCAATCCCATCAAACAGCGCTTTTTAGCTTTCATCAGAATTTGGGTCCAAACTGTTCGGCAGATTCCCACACGTTATGCACCCGTTCGTCACTTATCATTTATGTACGTGAGATTCTCATTTAATTAGAGGATTCGTTCTCTGATTCGAATTATAATTTATAGTTTATTACAGTATTTTTTTTTATAAAAAATACACTTAAATTAAAAATAATTCTAATCCATGAAATTTATTACAGTATTTTTTTTATAAAAAATACACTTAAATTAAAAATAATTCTAATCCATGAACAAAACGGACAAGTGTCTTGTTAAGCACTTATTTATATAAATTATTTCATATTGCATGTGAATTAAATGATGCTTAATTTGAGTTTGCAAATGGTAAGTTATAGCTATGGAGAATTTTAGAGCGGATGCAAGCTATGCGTGAATAGAAAAATGAGAAAAATGATTATAGAATGAAAGTGTTTAATTTTAAATAAAATTTTTAATTTTTTTTAATTTTTATTGTTTTTAAAACTTTAGTTTATGGTGGTTTTGATTTGAAGAATACTTTAGATTTTTTTTAAGTCATTCAAAGTAAAATATTTAAAACTTAACTATTTTCCACATTCTTTAAGAAATAAATGTTTAAAAGTTAAGACAATTGTGACGGCTCATAATGGGTCGTTACATATAATCTCTTATTATTAATTGACGTCGGAATGTTTTAAACACTCACAAATATAAAAATACAATTCACATGTAATATCAGTTGATACACAAAAATTATGATTGGACATGTTGTCCCTTGCATTATTTCTTTTTATAATTTTGCCCTTTTCTATTTCTTTCCCATCGACTGTCCCTAGGGGAGACAATGACCTCAATAGCAGCCCTTCCCAAGGTGAAAATAGGATTCCGAGGGCAAACCTCAAAAAGAAAAGAGACCAGTTACTCGGCAACCTCGCGTCCATTGATAGGCGGATGGACCAACTCCTGGCGCTGGTTGTTTTGTGTTTTAAGACGTAAACTAGAGGAATCAAACCAACGGTCAGCCATTTTGAAACTTAAGATATATGTCACTCAGTTGATTAAAATGTATTTTGATAGTCGTGAATCATCACCGATCATCTATGCTCTTCACTGGAGAATTCTAATAGAATATTTTTTATATTCTACAAGAATTTTTTTTTATTTTTTATAAATCAACAGATATGACATAATCAAGAAGTATTTTCCTTGAATCAACAAGTATGTTTGGATCCGACAGCTGAAGAGTATTATGGTAGAATGTTCTTTTGATATTCTACTAGAATATATTTTCTTGAATAAACAAAGATAATTGGATCTAGTAGTAGCATGCATTCTATCAGCTAGTAGTCCTTCCCCAAGTTGCTCCATCTACAGCGACAATCACAAAACTGTAACACATATTATTTGTAGGATTATCTAAATAGTGGACCATGTATTTAAAAGCGTCTATTATTTCATTTAATTACAAGAATAACATAAATGAGTCATGTAAAGACACATTTATCCTTACATATATGATGAAATAATTAGTACCAAAAATAATGTTAGAGGTACCAACTCTTATCCTTACATATATAATGTATTAACTGATATGTTATGAAATTATCAATGTTTTATTAGTAGCTTCAATATCTTATCATTAATTGATGTAAGCACTTGTAAATATTTTAAACACTTACCAATATAAAAATGATAACTAGCATGCCACATTAGTTGGTGCATGTTGGGGTCAAATTTCGTCACTCAATTTTAATCATACACGTGTCAATTCAAGTTGGCTAGACATATTTGATAATTTAATTATTTTGTGTAGGTGTAACAAGAGACACGTTCATGTGTATATATATGTGATATTGTTAATTAAGTATATGTTCCACAGTAATATATAATCTTACTATTTCAAAACTATATTTTTTGGTATAATGTTACTAGAACAATGACTTTAAAATAATATTTGTCATCAAAAAGTGTTTTTTTTAATTTTTTAATATATGTCTTTCTGCTACCAAATTAAATTTTAGGAGCAAAAAATATACTTTTAGCTACCAAAATAATATTTGGTAACAAAAAATATAATTTTTTGGTACCAAATTTTAGTAGCAGAAAATATAATTATGCTACCAAATTCATATTTTGGTGACAAAAAGAAGTTTTTTGCTACCAAAAAAACAAAAACATTTTTTTGATAACAAAAAACAAAATTTTTGTGAAAAAATCATTTTAACCTACCCTCCCTAAAAATTAAAAACACACCCACACATCAGTTTCATTAAAAATCAAAAACTCGTCGTCGCCCTTCTTCCCCTTCTTCAGAAACTCGTCACCATGTTTGCCATCTTCTTCAGAAATTCATCCGCCTTTCTTCCTCTCTCTCACTCCTTCTCCCTCTAGCCGCTGATTCTCGGCGTCATAGACTCCAATTCCCGCTTCCGCCGCCGTCGATTGTCGCTGTTGCCGCAGACGATTGTCG